AAAAAAAAAAAAAAAAGACCAGCTTTGCTAGTCTGCTAGAGCCTGGTGACACCCCTGAGACTGGCCCCTAGTTACCCTTCAGGTCTGGGACTGAATTCACTCCTGTGGCTTCCAGCCAAACAAAAGACAGGCATATGGGGTGAACATTTACATCAGGTAGATAAACTCCTTGGAGATATCTTGGGAGAGCAGAAGGGCTGTGTATGCACAGGAAGACAGCTGGGGGGGTGGGCAGGAGTGCATGGGAGGGAAGACACAGGGAAGAGGTAACTATGGGGAGGAAGTGGCAAGAGAGCTGTTACACTGTGGGGAATTGCAGTTGATGTCATGAAACAAAAAGCATATGAACTGCCGTATAGAAAATGAATTTGCTCTGTAAACTTTCACCCAAATCACAATTAAAAAAATAAAACAAACAAACAAACAAAAAAACCCACCAAAAATAAGTAAATAAATAAAATAAAAACCCTGGGTCTAAGGGCCCATCCATCCAGGGAAAAGGCAATGATGTAATTGAGTCTCTTGAAGGGAGCTGCCCCAGGGCCTGGGGCAGTTGCTCCTTGTCAGAGTTTCACTTTAGCTCTGGAGCCTTCAGTTTGCTGTGCATCTCTGGCTTTCCTAGGCCCAACTCACCTCGACTCCAGGGATTAAAGAGCAGTGTGAACTGGCCCAGGGAGTGTCGGGTCCTGCCTGAGACCTGCAGCAGGAGTGAATAGTGGCCAATAATGGCATCCACAGGCGTTGTCACAGAGATAGTCCAGGACTGGGCATCTTCCTCCTCTACTACTGCACTCCACCACTTTCGGTCACCCAGACTGGTAATGGGGAATGTGACTTGGGTCCTGTTGGCCTTGGAAGGCTCCTCTCCTGCAGACACACAGTGATCAATCTGTTATTTGGCTTCTTGGCCAAATAACTCAGAGTATAAAGTCAGGTTGTTACAAAGATGCAAATGGTTTTGGGAGAAAGAGCATCCAGGAATATGCCTATGGAGGCATAAAAAGTGATGGGTAAGAGCACAAGTTCTCAGCACCCAGGGACCTATATCTATAAAAGTCATAATCTAGAAAATAGGCAGAATAATAGTACCTGCTTCATAGGGCTGATGTGAGTATTAAACGAGATTTGCATATAAAGTACTTGGCCCCAAATCTTACATGTAGTATGGATTCAACAAATAGTAGCAATTAAATATTAGAATCAACTTGGATTAGATCCTGTGGTAGTTAAGTTTGTGTGTCAACTTGGCTGGGCCTGGTTGAGTGGCTGGGCAGCTGGATGTAGTATTCTCCGTGATGAGACAGTTAATTCCATGGTGGAATCTACTGTGAGCAGCTGAGTAGCTGCCTTTGGGATGTGGTCTGCTTTCTATATATTAAGGAGTACCCTTGAGGAAGGGTTGCTAGCTTATGGCATGCTTGAACCCTGCATGTAGTCATGTCATTGTTCAGCAGCCTGCCATGATCTGCTGACCTTGGACTTTCAGTGGACTTGAATTAGTGGCCTGCGTGTGATTTGGTAACAGCGGGACTGTGCATTTTTACTTGTCAACCTTGGGTTTGTCAGTCTCAGCAGCCAGCAGCTGTCTTGAGTGAAGAACAGCCTCTAGCTCCAGTGGGCTGGGGGCAGGAGGCA